CAAAGCCTGCAAACAGTGCAGCAGCTAATGAATTCAATTACAGTGTTTGATGCTGTTCATATATCATGAAATGTGCGTTTCTGAGATACGAACATTTTGATGGATTAAAGGAGCATCTTGGGTTGATCCGAGTGGGGGTGGGAGGATATGACTTAACCTGATGAATGCAAATCAGCCTTCGTTTAGATACTGAAATGCGTTCTATTACTTTGAAATGTAATTAATGAGGGAGAGCAGACATTGAAGAGTTTGTGGATGGAAATTGTTTCATCTTTTTTTATTTGATCACATCTTTGGGGCCGCTTTGAGAAAGACTGGCACTTTCTTGGGCATGTTCTGAGTCTCAGAGTATAGTTACAGACTTATTTGCACATTGGCTAATATTTTCCAGCCCTGTGAGCTGATTATGTCCTGAAATCTCTGCTGGGATACAGCTGTGGTTAGCTGCAGCACCACCTCTCGCATTTTGCCCGGTGACCCTGTATCTCTTGTTCACTGTGTCTCACCCCATCTTTGAGATGGAAGACTTTCAGCAGTGCTTCAAAAATAACCAACAGCGCAGTGAAGAAACAGAATCAGAATCCACTGTTTGTTCTAACACACCTGACATCAATAGGCAAATGCCTGCCAGTTGTGGTCCAAGAACCTACAAATGAGGAAAGTCCAAACCGCTGCTTTATGGGAATTGACTACGAGTGCAAACAGCTGTGCAGAATCCATACCTGCTGGATTTGTACCAGCCTCAGCCCAGGTGATCCCAAGAAGTCTGAATAGAGCACAGCACATGAGTGAGGTTTGAAGTCTTCTTGGAAGGCATGTTCATCTTCTTTTTCACCCTCAGAGGGTGGTGAGGCACTGGCACAGGTTGCCCAAGGAGGCTGTGGATGCCCCATCCCTGCAGGCATTCAAGGCCAGGCTGGATGTGGCTCTGGGCAGCCTGGGCTGCTGGTTGGCGACCTGCACACAGCAGGGGGTTGGAGCTGGATGAGCACTGTGCTCCTTTGCAACCCAGGCCATTCTATGATGCTATGATTCTATGATTGTCATGTCTCATAGTACTGCACAGATAAAGTGAACTTTGAGAAATTCTGAAGGGATGGAACAATCTCAGAAGCAGTGTCAAGAGACACCCTACATCCATCACTAACAGCCATGAACTCTTCACATAAAACATCCAACAGCTGTTTAACTACAATCCATAGCTTAAGTCAGCGTCCTGTTTCTCTAATCCCACTGTCCAAGGCTTCACAACCTTCACAACCTCCACAACCTGCACAGCCATCAGCACTGTCTTTGGCCATCAAAATCAGCAGAAAATTTGTCTTTACAATGTAGTACCTTTATCGAGTTAAGCAGCATCATTAACAACCTACAACCAGGAATCACTGCTCTCCATCACCACCAGAATAAACACAGTGACAGAATAAACACCATTAACCTGTGTTCCTTGGAGCTTCTAATGTGGCATCAAAGTAAGTGAAAATCACTATCTGTATCTGGAAGGCATCCTTGGGAAACTAACACCAGGTGCCCACAGCCTCTGACAGCTGTACTCACGTGAAGCTGGAGGGCAGGAGGAGCACGGGGCAGACATGCTTCTCCAACCCTCTCCATCTCCATCTCCATCTCCATCTCCATCTCCATCTCCATCTCCATCTC